CTCCTAGCTGGTGTCCCGACCCCCTGAGCGGCCGTGTGTCCTCTCCGCTAGCTCCTGGAGTCCTCTCTGAGCGGTCGCTCCCCTGATTGCCAAACTCCGAGGGCCCCCACCGCCTGGAAGCCGAGGGCCAGCTCCCTCGCTCCCTGCTCAGCCCCAGCCAGACAACCGAGGATTCTCCCAGAGCCTGTGCGTGACCTGTCTGGCTTCCGCCTCTTTGCTGATGGAGCTCACCCTTCCTGAAACAGCGTTTTCCCTTCGCCGTTCGTCACAAGCACCCTGGCCCTTCAGGTCCCGCTTAAACTATTTCTTCTTCTTTTTTTCTTTAAAGATTTTATTTTTAGGTCATCTCCACACCCAGCGTGGGGCTCGAACTCACAACCCTGAGATCAAGACTGAGCCAGCCAGGCGCCCCTATTCCTTCTCCTTGCAGACTTATTCGCATCTATCTCAGGCACTTGGGGCACTTTTGGGCTCCATGACGGTCCTCCCTGCAGCCTGACCTGGCGCAGACATTTGCTCATTCACTCAGCAGGCTCTTATTGAGACTGTGATGCGGGAGACACAGCGGTGACAGAGACAGCCCTGGCCCTCTCTCCTGGGGCTCTGAGTCCAGAGTGGGCAGAGCTGCGAGGTGGGGTGGGGTGGGGTGCAATCTAAGGGGACATCAGGGAGGGCTTCGTGGAGGGGATGGCAGAGTGGGACCTGAGGACTGGAAGAAGGTGAGCCCAGGAACTGTGCTCACGGATCTGACTCTGACCTCCTAGCCTCTTACTCATTCATTAACTCAACAATTCCCTGGAATCTGCCCCGGGGGCCCAGGCTGCTCTGTACCTGCTGGGGATACAGCAGTGACTGACACGGCCTTGGCCTTCTCTCACTCACATTTCAGTTGGATGACAACTTAATAATCACAGAACTAAGTATTCCAATAAGCAGAAAAAAATACAAATTTGCGAGCTGGGATATGCGCTGAGAGCATAGCCGAGGGGCCTGCCTAGCATGGAGTGGGCGTCAGGAAGCGAAGGAGACTTTGTGCATTTATCACTTCGTTTTATTCATTTTGGACTTCCTAGAACTGGGCCCGGCCCACAGATGGGACTCAAGCGCGCGCGTCCGTACGCGCGCGCGCGCGCGCACACACACACACTGGCGGGTCCCCAGGAGTGGCAGCTCTCTGGGGCCTTCTGTAGTCACTGCCCCACCTGCTGGTCACATGGGGAGTGACATTTAGAAGTACTCCCAGTGGCCACGACCCTGGGGGGGGGGGGAAGGGAGGGAGCCCTGGGTAGGGCACCTCCCACTGTGTCCCTCGGCTAGTCGCCCGCTAAGGACAGATGTGAGCTGGTCCAGTGGCCCTGAGAGCCGGAACTGGAAATGATCCCCACTCTCAGCATCCCGCTCTGGGCTGGAGTTCACTCCCTCAGGGCCTGCCCCACGTCCATTAGAAGCTCCGAGTGCCGTCTATGTGTCTTTGATTAATAAAGCATGGGAAAGAGAAGTCATGATTATTTAATAAGGCAGCCTGTCCAGGAGTAAAAGTCTTTCAAAACATAGGGCCCAAGGGGGAAAACTAATGATAGGAGCTAGAGTCACGCAGGCAGCGTGGGGCGTTTGGGATCCAAACGATCTGGGGTTTTGAGACCCAACTCAGCCACTGCCAGGAAGTATGGTACAAGAGCCTTTACCTGCCCGGGGCCCCCAGTTCTCTACTGTCAGATCTCCGTACTTATTTCACGCCTATGCGCACCCTCCATGGCCTGCGTGCCACCCGAATGAGACAGGTCTAGAAAGTGGTTGGCACAACCCTCTGAAGTGGGTATTTTCATGATCTTCCTCCTATAGGGTCATTATTCATCTCCATTTTGCAGACTAGTAAACTGAGGCCCAGAGAAGTGAAATCACTGCCCCAAGGTCATCAAGGAGCGGGTGGCAGAGGTAGACCTTGAGGGTTAGGGAGTGCACAGACTCACGAATGAGTGCTCACATGGGGCTTGGAGCCCAGTTCTGTGGGTCACCAGAACTTTTTCTCTCAACCACGAGACTAGAATTTTACACAGGGGTCCTGGCAGCTCAGAGGGCAACTCCCATCTTAGACCTGACCACTGTGACCCCAGACTCAGCCTACCCCTCCCACTGGCTTAGGCTCTGGCTCTGGCCTGCCTGAAGTCAGTTTTATTTATTATTTTTTTAAAGATTCTATTTATTTATTTGACAGAGCGACACAGCGAGAGAGGGAACACAAGCAGGGGGAGAGGGAGAAGCAGGCTTCCCGTGGAGCAGGGAGCCCGATGCGGGGCTCGATCCCAGGACCCTGGGATCATGACCTGAGCCGAAGGCAGATGCTTAACGGCTGAGCCACCCAGTCACCCCTGCAGTCAGTTTTAAAAGTCTAATGGAGGGGAAGCTGAGAGCCTGGACTGCTTGGGGTCAGCTCTGGTTCAAATTCCAGCCCTGCCACTTTTGAGGTTTGCCTCAATAACCTGGAGTAGCCTCTTCACTCTTCTGGGCCTCAGTTTCCTAGTCTGCATTCACAGCGTCTGGCCCAAACGGTTGCTTGCAGGACTCACCCGCATGGGGGCTGAGAGGTGCGCCCGCGGTGTGGGAGCCTCCAATAAAGACTGAACAGCGCTTGCTGTACCCCATGGCGAAAGCAAGTTTTTTTTTTTTTTTTTTATTCCACTGGATTCGGTTTCTGCTTCCACCAGCCCAGCCGCTGTGGTCGCGTGTGAGCAGGTCGCAAGTTAGACAGTGTCCGTTAACCGTTCATTCCCTGCACCCCTGAACGGGTGAGCGGATGGGATTTGCAGTTGGGGGCAGGGCTTCTTTATTTTGGGAAAAGCCCCCAAGGATTCTATGCCTTCCCTACAGAACCACTGGGCCCCAGGCCTTTCTTCTTCACATCCCCACTTGTGGCAGGGAAGTGAAGGGGCTTTCTGCAGTTTGCACATGTTCTGGGTTGTTTCAAATCTCCTGTCCCGGGCCCTCTCCGGGCCCTCTCCGGGGAGCTCACTAAAGCTCTGTGAGCTCAGGTCCCCAGGGTGTGCAGGCCGCTTGACTGACATTGACTCATTCAATGGCACCCCTTCCCCAGAGCACCCGGAGAGTCGCCAACCAGGGTCTCACCCCCAGGGTCTGCGTTCTTGCTGTTCCTCTGGATGACGCCCCTCCCTCCCACTGTGTGAGTGCTCAGCCTTCAGGTCTCAGCTCAGCGGGCTGCTCTCGTGGCCCTGGACCGGCCAGTCCTCATGGCGCATTCATTCATGTGACGGACACGCTGGTCTCCGCGCTTCTGTGCTCTGCCCCCTCCCCCCCGCCCCTGGGCCCCAAGGTTGATGGGCTGCACGGCCAGATCAGCATCCAGCTCAGAGGTCCCCTCTTGACTGCCATGACCAGGACAAGGCTCCAGGATGAGCACGCAGGAAAGGCTCTCCCAGGGCCGGGCTGCAGGGCCCACGCAGGGAGCAGGCCCAGAAACAGAGACAAGAGGGGAGGAGCCACGTCAGGTAGTCACTGTATTTTATTGGAAAACATTGATATATATTTTTCTTCACAGCTTGAACTGAACACAATATTGCCCGGTTTAAAAAAAAAAAAAAAAAAAAAGAAAGAAAACCAAAACCAAAACCAAAACACTCCAAAAATGTCCACAGCCTCACGCCTACCTGCCCTTACCCTCAGCTCTTGGCTGGGTCTCCCACTACGCCCCTTCCTCCCCTCCCCTCCCCCGGAGGCTGGGTGCCAGAGGGTGGATGAGGAGATTCTCAAAGCTGGGCAGGTCCCAGGAGAAGCCACTTGAACAACCTGGGTGGGGTGGGGGGTGGGGCAAGATGAAATGAACAGAAAAAGGAAAAGAAAAATCCAGACGACCGAACTGCCCACATTGACGTCCTTGTCCCAGAGGCGAAAATCAGAAGCAAGGTCACGGATCATGCTCTCCGCCGGGGGAGTGGGGGGGCAGGCAGGCGGGCGAGGGGGGAGAGGGCACAGAGACAGCACAGGTGTTCAGGAGCCAACCGAGTCACCACGGAGAAGCGGGAGGGGCCGGCTGACCAGGGAGCAGAGCTGCCCTCGGCCACCAGTCCCCCGGGCAGCTAGCCCACAAGACTGTTTTATTGCAGGTGTGTTCTCTCGAGAGCATGGCGGGCCTCATCTTCCCTCTCCCACCCTTCAGCTAGCCCGGCATGGTTTTTGACAGGATCAGTTTTAAGGGGCATAAAGAAAAAAACCAAAGGATAACCTGTACATGACAAAGCAACATCCCCACATCCGCTCCAACGAGGGGACCTCGGTGCGGGCGGGCAGGTGCGTCACGGAGGAGCGGCTGGGACGTTAGCACCAGGTATTCACAGAACAGCTCGAGATCGCTTTAGAAACATGGGCACGTACAATTTGTAGAGTGACCAGCTGAGCAGCCCCCACCCAGCCCAACCTCAGGAAGTCAATCAGATGGTTTCAGAATAGCAGCCAGTGGGACCTGAGTGGTGTTCGCTCTATCCGTCCCCTTCTGTGAGTCGGCCCCCTCCAGTGGTAAAAAGAACGCCAGCTTCCAAGACTCCCTTGCCCCTCGACCCTGTCCTGGACCATATCCAGTCAACACCACAACCCCTCAATTCCCCCCAGTCCTTCTGGAATGCCTCTCTTGGCACCCCTGCCCCGAAAGGTTGCTGGGATGTGCACACAGAATCACAGGGCTGGTTGCATGCAACAGCAAAAGGCATGCTCTTCTGCCTGGGCGAGGCCTCATCCCCTCCCTCGCAGGCCCTGGGACAGGGCTGGCAGCCACCCCAGCACCCAAAATAAGATGACACACGAAAGGAAACAAACCAAAACAGAGGAGAGCCACCCGGGCTGGAGGAGGAGGGCAGAGGCTCCCCTAAGGGGAAGGGGGCTTCATCTTATGAATGCATCAGGCCTTGGAAGATGTGAAGTGGGGAGGGCAAAAGGAAGAGATGAGGGGCATGGGAGGAGACTCAAGGAGGGAGAAAGAGCAATCATGCAGCTTGGGACAAATCTTTTGTTGCTTTATCAGATTCTCAGTCAATCAACTGGTGTTTGCTAGAACCGGGGAACGCAGGGGAGTGTTGAAGAGAGCGCGCGCGCGAGAAGAGAGAGATCACGAGAATGGGCATCACCAGCTGCCCAGGGGCCTTCACTTGGCAGTCATCATCTGTACAAACTCTGTGAAGCCAAACAGAGAAGGAGCAGGTCAGCCGGCGAGTGGGCCGAGCCAGCCGCCCTCTGACACGAGGGGCCTGGGGCTCGTTCCTGACGCCGCGACTCGCGCTTGCAGCCGGGGAGGTGGGGCCCCGGCGACCGCTCACCTTCGTAATTGACCTGGCCGTCTCCATCGATGTCGGCCTCTCTGATCATCTCATCCACCTCCTCGTCAGTCAGCTTCTCACCCAGGTTCGTCATTACGTGACGCAGCTCAGCAGCGCTGATGTAGCCATTGCCGTCCTGGGTGTGGGGACAGGGGAAGGCTCTGAGCGGGAGGCTCTGCTGGGGGCGGGGGCGGGCGGGAGCGGCAGCAGGCAGGGGAAGGGGGCCTCCTGAGGTCGCAGGGCAATGGCGCTGGCACTGCAATCCAGGCCTGGGGAAGGTCCCCCCCCGAGCTCTGTCCCTCCGCCGGAGTCCCGGAGCCACTGTGGCAAGCGACTACCTACCTTGTCAAAGACACGGAACGCCTCTCGGATCTCCTCCTCGCTGTCCGTATCCTTCATCTTTCTGGCCATCATGGTCAGGAACTCCGGGAAGTCAATGGTCCCATTCCCTGGAAGGTGGGGAAGGGAGTCGGGAATGCTCTCGGCCCGGAGCCTGGGAGACCACCCCAGAGCCCTGGCAGAGGAAGTAACGGGCCTGGACGTCGCCCCGAGGACGGCTCCAGGGGGTCACGAGACGCGACCGAGAACAGAGCCCCCATACACCCGCTCCGTGGGGCTCACCATCTGCATCCACCTCATTGATCATGTCCTGCAGCTCTGCTTCGGTGGGGTTCTGTCCCAGGGATCTCATCACTGTCCCCAACTCCTTGGTGGTGATAGTTCCATCTCCATCCTTGTCAAAGAGGGAGAAGGCCTCCTTGAACTCTGGGGTAAGAGAGGGAAGGAATCAGAGGTCAAGGACCACAGGGAAAGCCCTCTGTGAGAGAAGGTAAAGGGAGTCCTGTCGGAAGGAGCCAGAACAAGACTTCCAATCCAGGCCCCCCGCTTCGGTGCTCAGGGCAGACCCCTTCCTTCCTTCGGTCAACGTTTACTAAGCACCTACTCTGTGTCAAGGAAAGCTACCTGTGGGGCCAACCTGGCTCGGTGAGCACAGAGGGGAAACAGGCTGAGAGCCGTCCTCAGAGAATTCTACATTTCTTGCTGGTCCCTGGCTTCGACCTCTCCCTCCAATGATGAAATGGACTAATGTCACGGGATGGACAAGAGCTGAGAGAAATCTCCATCTGAGGTCTGCCAGCCAAGGTCACCCGGCTGGGACGGGAAGGGGAGGCTGCGAAAGCCTTCGGGGGTACTCCCAGCCCAGCTCCCCGAGCCGAAGCTGCCGGCTTCCGGAGGAGGAGCCGGGCGGCCGCGTGTGGTGGGGTGCGGGGGTGCGCAGCGGCAGAGCGCGGCTGGCGGGCGGCGCGTGGGCTAGGTGGGGGGATGGAAGGAGAGGGGACGGCTGCCAAGCCGGGATGAAGAGCTAGTGGCGCCGAGTGGGAAGGCCACAGCTGGGGACGCATCGGGCGCGGGGAGAGAAGCACGTGGCTGTGGCCCTCCCACTGGGCCCATTTTGGCGCCGGTGCTCCCTACCCCCAAACCCTCAGAGAACAGATGCCTGGCAGCCTATTCCCAGAGAGTGTGGGCTGGGGTGAGGTGGTGGACAGTTTGCTAATGGGGACAGGGTGGAGAGTGGAGTCTGTGTTTGTGTCACATGAGGGCAGAGTCGGGGTGTGGGTGGCAGGTGCAGCGGGAGACACGCACACAGCCGAGAAGCTGTGTCCCCGAGCCTCGGGGTCACAGGGAGAGGTGTCTCCTTGGGGATGCCAGGACCTCCCTGTGCTGAGGCCTGGTTGTTCTCGTGGAGGGCACGGAGTGGGTCATGGGGACACCCTGAGCTCATGATCACTGAACAACGAGGTGGCGCTCCAGCTTTCCTCGGTGGGTCTCCATGGCCACTGGGGGCCAGAGTTTAGAAACTGAAGGTGTGACTGTGCGCTGGGGGGTGGGGGACGGGAGGAAAGGACAGAAGGCAAGTCCACTCCTGCCTCGTCCCGCTTCAGATGCGGGGCATTCAATACTTATCACGCAGCCTGTCGGACGTGACAGCAAAGCTGGGGTTGGGGCAGCTGCTGGGGCCCAGGGCCCACTCCGTGAATCCTTCCTCCTGTCTGCTCTGTGCTGGCCCCTGATTATGGAGAGAAACCGAGAGCTGGTTTCTCTCCTCAGCAGCTCACGGTCTTGGGAGAGGGAGACTGAGAAGCCCACCGAATCACAGGTCAGTTCCTGTAGCGGTGACCTTTCTGGGGTGGCTACAAAAATGAATTACATGGGATTCCAGAATTTCTTCTGGCTTACTGGGGGATATACTACCATTCCTTTATTCATTTATTTGGCCAACAAAAATTTACAGAGCACCTACTGTATTCCGGGCACTGGAGGTACAGCAGGGACCAACAAAAACAAAGCCCCGAATTCAAGGAGCTCACATCTAGTGACAGGAGATACAGCAGGTGAAGACAGAAAAGACTGCCAGACAGTGAGAGAGGCTACGAAGGAAACCCACAGAGTGACAGGACCGAGGGTCCAGGAAGGCCGTCTGTCGGGGCCGGGGAGTTAGGGAAGGCCTCTCCAAGGTGCCATCCGAGCGGAGGCCCAGATGATGGGAAGGAGCTGCTCGTGCAAGGAGCTGGGGAAGAGTCATTTCTGGCAGAGGAAAGTGACTGCGAGCACGTGCAAAGGGGAGTGCAAAGCACAGGCAAGTGCAGAGGTGGGAGTGACAAGCCATCTCCTGGGTGGCTCCTAAAGTGGGACAGGAGCTCTGCAGCCCCACGGGGAGGCTCACGTTCGGAGCCCAACTGGCAGAAGCTGGGACAGAGAGCCAGGTTCACCCTGCAGCCACTGAGCAGTGAAAGGCCCCCGATGACCCACGGCCAGGGAGGAACAGAGTTTTGGCATCTGGTAGATGCCTGGCTCCGGACCCTGGGGGTTTGGTGTCACTGGGGTGCAGTGTGCTCTTATCCACGGTTCCCAACGTTCTAAGCACAAGGCCCAGCATTAACTGAGGTAGGGGCCACACGAGTTCATCTGTCAGATGCCACTTCTGGCCGGAGTAAGATTTGACTGGGGATGCAGAGGCCCTCCCAAGGCAGGAGGAGGAGGAGGGTAGGCAAGCTCACCTGCGATCTGCTCCTCAGTCAGCTGGTCAGCCTGGAAAAGCGAGAAGGAGAGAGTCAGTCACCAGGCTCGCCAGCCATGGTCCGCACGTCCTGCCTGCTCAGCCCAGCCCCCTCTGGTGAGGCCGGCTCCGCAGGGCATCCCATGCACCTGGGCCAAGGGGGTGCATGCCAGGGTCAGGGTCTGCAGGACAGCCAGGTTCTGGGGGAAAGTCTGGTGATTCATGAAGTTGGGGACTAAAGTGGACCAGAAACCCAGGCCTGCCTGCTACGGGGCCATTAAGTTGCCCAGACCCAAGGGCTTCCAATCCTGACCCAGTGCTTGGGAGCCACAGTGGGTGGGGAGACATCCTGCCCCAGCCCCAGCCCAGCTGAGCCCGCACAGCACGGGTTTGTGTCTCCGCGTCGCCGCTGCCGCCGCCGAGAGCCCCAGAGGCTGAGTGAAGGGAGCAGTTGCCCTAGAGGCCTAATCAAGCAGCTCTGGAAGGCTCCAAACTGAAGCAGGCCAGTCCTTGGGTAGGACGGAGGGAAGATGTCTGGGGCTCTTTGCTAGTTTCTGTGTCACCTATTTGGACGCAGCAGGTCCAAGCACAGTGGACGCAGCCGGCCAGGATTCTCCTAACTGGTAGCTCCGAATTGCCCCGGGTGCTCGAAAGAACCCTGCTCAGGCCAGAGGCAGCCGCTCCACCCCTCCCTGCCCGCAGGGCAGGCGCAGGGCACCGTTCGGTTCTGTTTCTTTGGGGCAGGAAGGGCCAGTGGCGGGGAGGGGACCGCAGTGAGCGGCAGCAATGGCGGCAAAGGCTGGAGGACTGAAGTCAGCTTCCCCAGCTTCGCTGCAGTTTTTAACCCCTTCCAGCCCGGGCCACTCTGGGGACTGGCCAGTTGGTGGCAGGCAGCCCTTGCTGCCTGCGGGGTTCGGGGGTGGTGGGGGAGGGGAGAGGCCCAGACTCGCTTTTTTGGCACTGGTGTCCTCCGGAGGAGCTGGGCTGGGGGGGGCGAGTCCCAACATTTAGCTCTAGGCCCCAAATGCAGGAATTTCCCCTGGTTTTGGCAAATGCTGCCAAGAGGGCACCACCCTGCCCGGTGCCCAGACAACCGTCCCCTCCTTTACTCCCTCTTACAGTCAGGGGAAAGGGGCTGCACGTCCACGGCAGGGCTCTAGCCTTGAGGCTGAGGGAGCCCTCAAAACTAGTGCAAACTGTCTGCACAGTGGTTCCAGAGCTTCCACTGGAAGCTAGCAGTGACCCTCCCACCCCCACCCCCACCCCGTCCCAAATACTAAGAACCGGTCACATAAGAACTGGTCTAAAATGTCCTTTACCTTTTTTTTTTTTTTTTTAATCTAAGGGAAAAGGAACTTGAGGCCAAGCCCCAAAAAGGCAGAAGGGGAGGGGAAATCGAAGTGATGAGGACAGAGGAGAGAGGGCTAAGAGAGGAGGGAAGAAGGAAGGTAGAGAAGGAAAAACACCACACACGCACATTCCGGAAAAGGCCAAAGTCTAAAGGGAAGGTTAGGAGGCCAAATGGAGATGCTTCTGCATTGCCTTCACACAAGACGCGGGGCTGCTGGGCTCTAAACGCCAAGCCGGCAGCTCCGGCCCACGAGCCCCCTGCTCTGGCCGCTTCCCTTGGCTCCCACGGGCCGAGAAGCCTGGTCGTGACACCCGAGGAAGCTGCTGGGGGAAAGCGAGAAGACAGGATGGGCTTCTGGTTACCAAGGCCAGGCAATGCCAGGGGAGAGGGAAAAGAACCGAGGGCAGAGGGACAGTGTGGGGAGGAGGGCTGCCATTCCATCTGCTGCTCAGCCTGGCCCGGAATGGAAGGAGCCAGCCCGATCGGGGCCCTTCCCACCCCCACCGCCCCACTCCGCAAGAAGCCCAACTGTTCCCCCCTTTGGGCAGCACCGTCAGGGTCTGGGACAGGTGGCCCCGCAGGCCCAGGAGTGGCTCTGAAGGCCCATGGCTGCCACTCCCGGCCGACAGGCACGGAGGAGGCATGCCACATGGCCACCCGGGGCTGCTGCAAACAGGCGTGGCTCTGCCTCCTCCTGGTTAGGAGACCCTCTCCTCCACCCCCTCCACCCCCACCCCCGCCGGGGTGGAGAAGCAAAGGTCCCAGCTCCGAGCTATAGCCCTCAAGGCATGGCCGCTTGCCCACAGAACTGATCACCCGGGAAACTGTCCTCGCCAGGGACCCCTTCCCGGGATTTCTTCCCTTTCCAAATCTGAAGATTTTCTGCTTTCATCAAAATTTGGAATTCCCTTTCCCAACCTGAAGATTTTCTGCTTTCACCAAAAATAACCCAGCTGGTCTCCTTCCTTACCCCTCATCTTCCTTCGGCTCCAGCAAGGGGCCGGGCAAGAAAAAAAGCCCTGGGGTGGGGGAGGGAAGAGGGTATTATTTCTCCGGCCTGACCCAGCCCCCAGGCAACGCCAGAGAGCAGTGTTAGATGAGATCAGAAACCAAGGCCAGGGCCCCTCACCCGGGCCAAGGAGGAGCCACAGTGCTCAGGCCAAAGTCCAAGGCCGGTTACCAGGGACTTGTCCCACCCATACCTTGCTGATCACAAGTGGGAAGAGACACTAGCTGCGGCCAAAGCTCTGGTCCTATGTGGGAGGTGGGGGGCCTCCTGGCATTGGCCAGCAAGTACTTGAGGGCCCCTTCAGCGAGGTCGTACTGGGGGAAAATGGGGCAGTGGCAACCGGAGCTACCAGGTCTGTGTCAGCAAGTATGAGATCTGATCCACAGCAGCGGCTGCTTGTTCTCCCCGGCCTTGCCAGGGAGGAGGGCTGCGCACGGTTCCGAAGCTGAGCCTGGGGGGGCTGTGAGTGTTGTGGGTGGCAGGGCGCAGGAAAGAACTAGTCGGCTGGGTTTCTCTCAAAGCTCCAGCTGTGCGAATTAACAGAGGCACCCAGTGAGGGGCCCCGAACGGAACAAGTGGCCCTCAGGCAGATGACGGGGTCCCTCTGGAGGTCCTCTCTGTTCAAGCTCTGCAGCCCCCCACCCCGAGGCCCCGGGAACAGGCGTCCGATTGTCACCGACGCCACACTGTACTGCACTGTCATTTGGCCCAAGTGAGGAGATGCAGAACAGTGCACGGAGCTGGAGACCACAAGAAAACCAGCACTCCAGTTTGGAAAAAGCCGCTCTCTTGGTCTGAAAGGGGCAGCGAGGGGGTGAGATTCTAGGCTCAAAAGGCTGGCTCGTTTGATGCATCCCAAACTTTGGTCCCCACCCCCATTTCATGCGGCTTCAGTGCGCAATAGGGGCCCAAACAACTCCGCCCACCTGCTCCCACTGCCGGGGTGCCTCCTGCCCAGCCCCATTCTTCCTGGGGAAGGGGGACCGTATGGCCACTCCCTTCGGCCTCTGCAGCCCACTCCCCATCTAGACTGAACAGTCTTTGTCCTGGTCTTTCCCTGGAGACTTCCAGGGAGCTGCCCACATTCACCTCCAAATCAAATCTAGGCCCACCCTGGCTGCCATTCATTTTCTCCTCCGACACCTCCCCCCGCCCAGGCCTCCTTCCACCGCACCTCCCACCACCCAAGCCAGGCTCCTCTCCTACCCCCACCTTCTCATGGACCCAGCACAACACTCCGCCCTGGCCCCCTCCCATGAAAACCAGCCTCTCTAGTTCAACAGCCACTAGTAACCTCAGAACCTTTTCTGGCCGCCCCCCAAACCAACCACGAGGCCTCCTGCTCCCCCACCACTGCCAAGCACCAGTCTTGCCATTCCCTCTTAATCACCTCCCCGACCCCAATCCTTTTCAGTCCCTGCAGGCTCCCAGAACATCTTCTAACCTCCACTGCCACCCACCCCTGGCCCTTCCTCCCCTAAGCTTGCACCTCGCCCTCCTCCTCCTTCCTCTGCAATGCTGGTCTTCCGAGAACAGCCCCCCCTCCCCTCCCGGGTCTGATCTGCAGAAGTCGCCCCCATCCCTGCCCCTCTCCCCACCCAGGTCCAGCTACACACGGCCCCCTCTCGGGAGCGCCCCGGCAGCCTGGCCTTCCTCTGATCTCCCTTCCCCGCATCCTTTTAGGATCCAAAGTGTTCATTAGGGCCCGAACACCCCCTTCCCGGCCAATGCTTCTTACCTCGCCCCCCAAGGGGTCCGAACACCCTACCTCAGAGATCCAACGCCCCACCCTGCGTCCAAAAGCCCTTTTTGGGGTCCAAACGCCCCCTCTGAGGGTCCAGATGCCCCCTCTGAGAGCTCGGGTGCCCATTTTGGGGTCTAAGCACCTCACCTGGTATTAAAAGTGACTTTTGAAGCCCCTAACCCTCTTTTGGGATCCAAACATCCCGCTCTGGGGTTCGAATGCCCCCGACAGGGGGGCCGAGAGGGGTCCAGGGGCGCTCGCCGGGGCCCCGACACCCCCTATGCTGGGTCCGCCTGCCCTCTCAGGAATCCTGCCCCGCCGTGCCCGCCTCAGAACCCCCAGCCTGGGCGGCCCCCCAGCCTCACTCACCATGGCGAGGCCGGGGTGTCCGGAGCGCGGGGATCAAGGTTCCTCCGGCGGCGGCAGCAGCTGCAGCTCGAACTCCGCCGCGCGTCCGCGCCTCCACACTCACTACCCGCAGCGCGCGCCGCCGCCGCCGCCTCCCGCCCCAACGGTCCTTCAACGGCCGCCGCGCGCGCGCCCCGCCTCGCCCGGCCCCGCCCCGCCCTGCCCGCGTGCCGCCGCACTGCGGCTCCCGCGGATCCCTCCGCGCCCCACTCTGCGCTGACGCGCCCGCGGATCTCTCGCGCCCGCCCCACACAGAGCCGGGCTTTGCTTCCGGCCGCGCGCGCGCGCGCACCCGCCGCGGAACTACTTTCCGTCGCCGCGCGCTCCGCCCCCCTGCGTCCTCTCTACTTGCCTCCCCGGCGGAGGGGCACCGGTCGGCGGCGCGTGACGCGTCCCTGTGTGAGCCGCGCCGCTATTGGGCCCAGGCCATGGCGGAAATGAGAGCGCGGTGCCGATTGGTCCGGCCTTCCCTGCAATGCGTCAAACTGGGGCGAGCCACTGCGTGGTGGTGGTGGGGAAGCTTGAAGTGTGTGCCTGCGGGGAGCCGTGAGGTGTAAGGAGGCGAAGGGAGAAGCTGGGTGGCTGTTAGAGACGCAAATACATGACTTGGGTCCTTGGCCTTCTGTTTCATGGCCAGTGCCAGTCGTCTTGGTGGCCAGGGAGAGGTAAAGGGCTGGCGGAAGATGCAAAAGGACTATCTCGGCTCTCCCCTCTAACAGATGGAAGATGGTGCAATCCAAAATTCTGGGGTCTGGAAGCCCCGCCCCCATCTGGGCCCTACGAGGTGGCGGGGTCTTCAAGGTTCTGCTCTTCCGGTAGAGGTTCCACTTGTGGGGGCAGGTGTCTGCGCCCTGAGACGCACTCCACAGGTGTGCGGGACCCCTACCCCCGCTTCACGCTTGATCAGCTCAGAGTCTATGAAATTGGGGCGGTCACAGGACAGCTTCTGGGAACAGGGCACTCATTCATTCATTCATTCATTCAATAAGCATTAATGGGGCGCCTCCTGTATGCACGGACTTGTGTTGGGCTGCGCTGGGGAGACCGTACTTCCCAACCATTCTGGTATCTCCTAGACCCACTTGATTCTTGCACTTCTCGTTCCAAGGTTCCAGCTGTAGGAGGAAAAATAATGCGAAGGTTAGCTGAAAACTGTTGACTGGAGCTCAGAAACAACCTTCTTTTGTTTAGAATAGGAGCTGCCATTCCTTTATGTGCCCCGCCCCTCATCCCCCTATCATTGGCCGAGGAATGGGCAAGTGAGTCAAGCTGGGCCATTCCTTATGTCCCACCTGGCACAGAATGTAGGTTGAATCAATGAGAGTCCTTCCCTGGGTTTTTGGATCTGGAGTCTGGGGGCAAGAAGCCTTTTCATTATGGGGGTGCCTGGCTGGCTCAATCAGGAGAGCGTATGACTCTTGATCTTGGGGTTATGAGTTGAAGTCCCACGCTGGGTGTAGAAATTACTTAAAAATAAAATCTTTAAAAAAAAAAAAATTTTTCTTTATGGGTGGTGAGGCTTTGAAGGAATAGGTCCAGAGTGTCTGTGGCCATTTTCCCACTTCTGGAGGAGAGAATAAAACTGACACCAGGGAGAAGCAAGTAAGAGATGGAGTGAGAGTCCCTTTGGCATTTACTTCACTGGTTCCAGTACTCTCGAGGCCAGCTGCACACCATCATGCAGGACTTTGAGTACACGAACTATTAAAATTTTCCTCTTATCCCAAACTAGTTTGAGTTCAGTTTTTATCACTTGCACCCAAAGAATTCCTGATGGATATGAGCTGGGCTAAACTCTGTCTTGGTCATCAGCACTGGGCCATGAAACAGAAGGCCAAGGACCCCAGTCAACATTTGCTGAACAAATAAGCGAAACAAAGACATGCTCATGCTCTCTCCTCCTCTCTGTCTCTCTTTCTCTTGACTCTGAATTTCTACCAGGCAGATCTTAATTCCTGAATTACTTGGGGTTATGAAATAGCAAATATACTACAAGTAACGTCTTTCAGCACTTACTCTGTTCCACACACCATTCCAAGCACTTCGTGTGCATTAGCTCATTTAATTCTCAGCCTCTCTATGGATATGTTACTTCCATTTTTTTTCATTTGATGAAACTGTTGCATTGCCACTGGAGTTAGATGAGACCAGAGAGATATGAAGGCTTGACCAAGAACAGAATCAAGTCGCTTGCCCGTGGTCAAGGAGGTAGAGTTAGGATTTGAACCCAAGCAATTTGACTGAAAAGTCCACACTCCTAAACACCATTACACTACCAGTGAGAGAGACTGGATTTGTCTTCGACGATCCATTCTCCCTCTCTTCAAGAGTAATAGAAGTGTAGCTGGGCACATTGCCACCCCAAATAAAAACTACATTCCCCAGTCTTCCTTGCGTTTAGGCTCATCCTGTGAACAAAGGAGAGGAGCACTCTTTTACAGAGGAAGGGGGGCAGGTTGGCGAGGGGTTGTTACAAACCAAAGGTCCATTGGAGCAATCCGGGAGTTTGAAGTGTCGAGGCTGTTCATTGGCTGAGTTGTGACCGCTCTCATTGGCTGGGCTGTTGCTGGGCAGGAGAGAATCTTCCTCCCTGCTGCTGTTGTGAGGGAAGCTTCTGCCTGCTGGGAATGCAAAGTACTCTCTTCCTGTTGGGATCTGCAATTGGAATGGTAGAGAGTGGGAGCTCCCCCTTCTGGCCTCCCGACCTCATTTTATTTTATTGTACTTTATTTTTAAGATTTCATTTATTTATTTGACAGAGAGAGACACAGCGAGAGAGGGGACACAAGCAGGGGGAGTGGAAGAGGGACAAGCAGGCTTCCCACTGAGCAGGAAGCCTGATGCAGGGCTCTATCCCAGGACCCCGGGATCATGACCTGAGCCGAAGGCAGACGCTCAAGGACTGAGCCACCCAGGCGCCCCTCCCGACCTCATTTTAAATGAGGTTTCCTTTTATTGATTTTCACACTGAGTCCAGGGGACCCACACCACAATCTGGTGACCCTGTGATTTCTCTGAGCTCACCTGCCTGTGCTTTCCCCCTCACTCTCTCTGTTCCAGCCACACCGGCCTCTTTGCTGTTCCTTGAACACTTATGTCTGGCTTCTGCCTCAGGGCTTTTGTATTCGTTCCTCTTCTTGAGATGTTCTTCTCACAATAGCCACAGGGCTTCACTTTCCTTAGCATCACCCTTCCTTATTCAAATGACACATTCTCAGAGCTCCTGGCTGGCTCAGTCAGTACAGCATGTGACTCTTGATATCAGGATCTTGATTGTAACCCAACGCGGGGAGGGGGAAAAAAAAAAGAAAAATAAATAAAATTGTAACCCAATGCTCCCAATCCCCTTTACCTGGCTTTATGGCTTTTCATAGGAGTGACCACCTCCTCAACTATGAGATAATGTAATTCTTTTTATAGTTTGAATCTTCCACTGTCATTTAAGCTCCATGAGGTTCGATCTTCCTGTCTTTTGTGCTCACTGTGGTTATCTGCAGTGTCCAAACTAAAGCCAGGAATGTAGTACGTGCTCAATAAACATGTTTTGAATAAATAAAGAAAAACGAGGAGATGGAAACTCTCCTACACTGTTGGTGGGAGTATGTGTTGATAGAATCACTCTAGTGAGTGTATCAGTTAGATTGGACTAGGCTATAGTGCAGTAAGAACTGCAAAAATCTCAGTTAACACAATTAAAGTTTCTCACGCAGTCTACTGTGGCTCTCAGCTGCGTTGCAGGACAGCTGTCCTCCACGTGGTGACTTGCTAACCTGGGCTCTTTCATCTCTCCCCAAGGTCTCTACGCTGCCGCAGCTGGGGAAGAGGGAGATCAGAGAATCTCCTGGGGAGTTTTCATGGACTCAGTCTGGGAGTAACACCTCTCGATTCAGCTCACATGTCATTGTCCAGAACTAGCTACGTGGTCCCATGTCACTGTTGCGGGATGGGGAAGTATGTTTTCTCACGTGCTCCAGAAGAAGACACGGGAAGCAGAATTTGATGACCATACCATGGTCTTGGTAACAGAGAGCCATTTGGCAGTCTCTATAGGCAAGTCAAAGGTGCACATTTGCTAAAACCTAGCAATTCTACTCTTATATGTATCCCGATCAGTCACTTTCAAGCTTTTTTGAATGAGGTTCATAATAAGAACTAGTCTTTTTTTTTTTTAAGATGTAGGGGAAGGGGAATTTTTGTTTTTATTTATTTTTTTGAAGGTCTGATTTTTAAGTAATCGCTATACCCAACATGAGGCTCGAATTCACAACCCCAAGATCAAGAGTCCCATGCTCCTCCAACTGAGCCAGCCAGGCAACCCATTTTTCTTGATACTTATTTGACAAACACATAAAGCATTTCCGATGTGCCCAGGACTCTTCAAGTACTTTAGAGGTCTGTGTCCAATATGGTAGCCACTAGCCACACCTAGTCATTGATCTCTTGAAATGGGGCTACTGCTACATAATGAAAATATATTATCTTGAACATATTGGGTTAAATAAGATATATTATTACATTGACTTTCATGTATTTTGTTTTACTTTTTTAATGTGAGTCCTAGAATACCTAATACAACACATGTGGCTTGCATTATATTTCTATTGTCAGCACTGCTCTGAGGTAGGTACTATTATAATACATTTATAATCTCCGTCCCAAAGATGAAGAAACTGAGGCACAGAGAAGTTATTTGCTTAAGGTCATACAGCTAGGTAGTATGAACCAAACAGACTGGTTTCAGGTTCCATGCTCATAACTACTACATTATACTTCCAATCCACGGAAGGTTTTTGTCTAAGATAAGCATTTAAAATTACATTTCCCTCTAAGCACTGCTTTAGTTGCATCCCCCAAATTTTGGCATGTTGCATTTTAGTTTTATTGAGTTCAAGATGCTTCCTAATTTCCCTTGTGATTTCTTCTTTAGTCTCTAGATTATTTATTATTGTGTGTAATTTTCAAATATTTGGGGTTTTCCCATGTATCTTGTCATTGATTTCTAATTTAATTCCATGATGATCAGAGAATATACTTTTCAGTCCTTTGAACTTTATTGAGACTTGTTTTATGGGCCACCAATATATGGTATATATTGGTTAATATTCTATGGGCACTTGGAAAGAATGTGGTTGTTGTGTGGAATAGTCTATAAATGTCAATTATGTAAAATTGGGTGATAGTGT